TGGCGAGCTCAATGTCGGCGGTGTTGTGGTAGCCGCATCTGACTCAGCACAGTCTCTGGTTAACTTGAAAACGTACAACTGGTGAGGCGAGAGTGAAGCGCGGATAGCGGGGGAGAGGTGAGGGTGAATGAGGTGTGTGCGCAGGCGCGATCCCGCATGAGTGATGGGGACGCCGAGAAATGAGAAGTCTGGCTGGTCTGAGCATACGACGACCCGGTCATTGGACATGAACCAACTCGAGTCAAGACGGTATTTTCATAGCATTTTTTAAGGAGTCAGTTTTAGTGCACAAAAACCGTTTTTGCAAAACCACCACGCAATGCGTCGTCAAAGCATCCACAGCAATGTGAGATGTTGGGCGAGCGGGTAGATCTGCGTTCTCGTGCCAATGACCTCGTTATTTCACCATTTGAAACTCCGTCGGCGCATGAAGTCATTCTAGCAGAGATTGCGTTCTTTCCGTGACATTGCTCAAGACAATCGTCGGACTGACTTAGGTGGGCGTTTCCGCCTCACTGCGACACGCTCTCTTGGGAATAATCTCACCGATTGCACATGGGGACGTGTTTAGCTGGTTTGGCAACGGTTTGTGCAACCTCGTCGGCGCAGCGAGGCCACTACTGACTCCCAGTCTACCTCGCTCCTTCGTAGTTCAACACGCCTTTGCATTCACCAACACCTTCGTTTGATGTTGTGTCGACTGGCGCGAGAATTTGGGACACACACACACACACAGACGAACACGTCCTGCATCTGTCGAAACCGGCTTGCTCGACGGTGTTCGTGGAAGACGGACTGCCTCAAAGCAAACTGCTGAACTTGCGCGACCACAAAGTGACAGTTGAGAGCTGATTGGATGGACCAGTTTGCACAATTTTACCAATCCGCTCCCGCAGCTTTGAAACAGGCGCAAGGGAATTCATCGTCAAGGCCTAGGGGAGCGTGTTTGGCGCGTGTAGTAAAGGCGTTTAATCGTAATGCGACAGAAATGATTAGCTGGAGTTAACTTTGATCCTAAAGGGACAAATTCGAGTGAGAATCTGCCACGGCGACTTGTAAAAGCACTCAGCTGCGTGGAGGCGCAGTTGTGGCCCTCCGTCTTGGTGACACGCTGATGCTAGGCCCAGTCATCTGCCAACATTTGGTATTGCAGACAGGTGAGATAGCATAGTTCGAGGAATGTGACACTGCCACGCCTTTCGTATTCGCTATTGAGCTGTTTGCTGTTGACGCACTCCCTGCTCCCTCCCAACTGTTGTGCGAGTGGCCGATTCCCCTTCAGCCAATCCAGTGCGTTGACCGTCGTGGTGTGGGTACTTTCACTGATGGCCAATAGCATTTTACGTGGCTTCCAACCTCAAACATTTCATCGTCATTTTCGCATGCCCTTTTCAACCTCTGGATAACCCTTGCGGTCACAACTGTGGTTCCACCGATTCGAACTACGCGACAACACTGCAACCTGACCTTCCGCTGCTGTGACTCGGCTTGACTCGTCGACACGAATTACAAAGGCAATCGACAACTCGGAATCGTGATCGGAGCTCTCCGTAATTGGCATTCGACTCCGAAGCACTTGGAACCTGCGTCTGTGTGTGTGCGACTTTATGCGTTCTGGCGTGGATGTGGGCATTCGATGCCTTCATCAATCAGTCGTGTAGACGGCTCGGTGCCTAGTGACTGTCCTAATAGTCCCTCCTTTCACAAGCAGTCCACCTAAGCAATGACCTCATTGTCAGACGCGTGCAGACGTGATTTACGCCTTCGTCTCCCGTGACCTTCGATGCAGCCTTGACTTGGGATCCCTAAACGCCATCCAGTCGTCGACAGCGTGCGACTCTGTCAGCCTCGTCACCTACTTCAGCTGAGGCTGCGCGCGTTCTGGTCGACGTTCAGGTGGTGATTGCCCGCATGTCTCCTTCTCAATACAAAGTCCCAGAGAACACCACCTCGGGAGATCATCTTCGACACACTGCTACCTCGCGAACGCGTCTCTACAAGACGCAAAGTTATGCGCATGCGACGACTAGTCGACTGGTCGTAAATCGCGTTTAAAACCGGTCGATCTTGTCAACGCTCTACTTCAGTTGTTCTGTTCTTTGTTACCACGCAGCTGTCAAGCACTCAACGCGAATTCACAAGACCTCACTTTGGTGCTTTTCTGTCGAGCGTGCAAGAACTACCCATTTGTTCAGCATTCACCCAGAAGTGAGTTGCTAAACTCACCCGCTTTGCTGCACAGAACTTGCTAGAAAATGCCAAACGCTGTCGCTGAGTTTCTGCGTTATTGACGACGAGACAGCGGAAGTAAGTAAATTTTTGAAAAACCTGGTTGGCTTATTTCGTCAAGTGACCTTCGTCGCATGCCACCTCTGCAGTCGAGCGTCTACTTAGGAAGGGATACGTCAGAGGCACGTGTTTGACCGCATCTGATTGGTGCAGAAGCCTTGAACCAATCGGAGTTGACTCCGCCGATTAACGAGCTTGACATCCCACCCACTACCCTCATATTTGTTGTTGAGTCGCTTCCTAATGACGCGAGCTAACAAGTGTTTACCCATTGGCCGATTCCCCTTTACGCATTCCTATTGGTCAGCCAACAATAATGGACTGGTAGTCGATTAGATTCAGCTCATTGCTTACACTGTCAATTTGACATGTCTTTTTCCGACCTCTAGGCACCATTGAAGACGCAATAGCGACGTCGACACAGGCTCAAGACATTTCGCCCAAAACACCGAGAAATGCAATTTACTCGCGTCATCATCATCATCGTTATTACCAATTAGCTCATTCCTGGGGGAGTGAGCGGCGGTGTGTGCGTGGTCGAAGGAAGTGTGGAAATTCGCAGAAGCCACAGGTGCGACCGTAGCTTGTCTGAAGCAGGGATTCCCGCACAAGCACAGCGAGAGGGGGTGGGGGGGAGGAGCAATCGGTGGACAGGTGGCAATCACACACGCACCCACAAACTAACAGAAGGGGGACAGGGTTGGGGGGAGGAGGCGGTAGAAATGATGGTGGAGGTGGTGGCGGTGGTGGTGGAAACGCATTCGCCTGGGGTCGCTGGTAATCACAAGAGAGGAGGAGGAGGAGGGAATAAGGACGACGAGGACAGGAGTGAAACGATAAATTACTACGAGGTCTGGACGGGACGACGAAGTGCTGCGCTGTGACGCCTTCAAGCGCTCTCGAAAACTAAAATAAAACACGATCACAATGACACCACGTGTCTGGCGTGTCAATATTAGTGAGTTGGTGGCTCGTAAAACGACTTGTGTACAGAGTAATAAAAAACACGAGACCGTTTGATCACAAACACACAACAATCCAGCGCACACAAACGTTAAAACAAGGAGAGCGAGAGAGGGAGTCGACAAGACAGGCAGGGCCTTACTTTTAAGAGCCTCCTGGGCAAAGAATCGAACGTCCGAATCTTTGTCTTCATCCTTGACCTTCTTCAACGCCGGAACCACCTGTTTCTGCGCCGTCCTGAAACAATGCAAGGAAGAGCGTGAGTGCAAACTTAAGGGCCTCAACAAACGAGCGGTCTCATGATTAGTGTGTTTACGCGAAGAGTGTTCGCGGTTGTGGAGGGGGTAGTCATGGTGGAGGGGGAGGCGATGGAGGAGGAGGTGGTGGAAGAGGTTGTTGTGGTGGAAGTGGATGAGGTGGTGGAGGGGGTGTTTTGAGGTGTTTTGTTGAGGTGGTGTTGGAGGTGGTGATGAAGGTGGTGGTGCAGGAGGTGGTGGAGGAGGTGGCGGTGTTGGTGGTGGTAATGATGGTGGAGGTGGTGATGTTGGGGGAGGTGATGGCGGTGGAGGTGGTGTTTTGAGGTGGTGGGGGTGGATGAGGTGGCAGTGTTGGAGGTGGTCGTGGCGGAAGTGGTAGTTTTGGAGGTGGTGGTGAAGGAGGTGGTAGGGGAGCCGTACTCACTTATTGATGGTGGTGGTGGAGGAGGTGGCGTTGTCGGAGGTGGTGGAGGTGGCAATGATGGTGGAGGAGGAGGTGGTAATGGTGGGGGAGGTGGTGGGGAAGAAGGTGGAGGAAGTGGTGGTGATGGTATAGGGGGCGGCGGAGGCGTACTCACTTATTGTCAATACTGCCGGAGATTATGAGGAGGGCGCGAGCAGCCGCGAAGCGCACATTCGGCACGGGATCGTCAGTGAGCAGTTGGATGAGCATCTGGAGGCAGGTCTGTAGCGCGGTGGCCGGCATCGCGGGTCGCGGACTGCAGTTCTCGGGGACATCACCGCCACGGTCGTCTTTGCCGGCGTTGTGGCGGTTCACCACGTAGTCGCAGAGGTGGCTGGGTGAGAGGAGGCCGACGTTCGGCGAGAGATCACCCAGAGCACTGTACACTGGCTCGTTGGGTATGCCCGGCCCCCAGAGTGCCTACAATCGGGTAATTCAGGTGTGGAGGGAATCGCAAGCATGTCTAAGCGAAAAAAAAAACAACTTACCTGAACGGCGAGGATAAAAATCTGTCGCAGGTGGTAATTCGGATCAGTAGCGAGGGCCTTGAGGCCCCGAGCAGCCGCGTTGGCGGTCAGCGTCGCGATCGATATACTCCCGCCAACACCCGACGGATTGCCGGCGCCGTCGGCGCCACCGGTGACACTCGAGCTCAACGCGGTGTTGGGGAGACCAGCGGACGACGACGACGGAGACGTGGAGGCAGCGGCGCCGGCGGCCGAAGTCGAGTTGCTCGCGGCGCCAGAGGAGGCGCCGGCGGCCGATGCGGACCCAGGCGGTGTCTCCTTGTCTCCGCCAGTGCCCATGATGGCGTCGTTGGCGGCCTTCGGACAGGCCGCGAGGAGGCGAGCGAGGCTGCGGCAGGCACAATCGCGCACCGCCCAAGTTGGATCGCGGAGCCACGCGAGAGTGGATGGGAGTATGGTCTCACGCAGGCAGTTCTCGGGCTGAAGTCAAGCAAAAATAAAAACCACACACTGAGACGCTAAAATCACTCCCTCCAACACGCGACCGCGTGAATTAGCATTTTGGTAAGGCGTAATTGCGCACACGTACAGGTCATGACTTATTCTCACACACACACAAACGCCGCCAAATGACTCAAGTCGATTAAAACACAGGAAAACAACTTACAAGAGTCGTGAACAAACAGGGCAGCGACTGAACAACACCCAGACGCACGCGCCAGTTTTTGCCCTGCCAGAGGTTCACGAGACTTGGCAGAATGGTGAGTTGGATCTCGCTTGGGGGTATGAACGACATCAGCTGGGAGAAGTATTCAAACACGTACTGTTTTGGCTACAACGGGAAGGAGAGAAGGCGGACTAGTGGTTAAACCCAATGAGGAAGAAGCATCGATCTGATTGGTCCCTGAGGTCGACTGCCAATTGGGTGAAACCCGGGGAGACAACCAATAGGAAAAACAATGGATATTATTGGTCCGCGAGGTGAGTTATGATTGGTTTGAAGGGGCAACGGCACTTGTCTGGCAATACAAGGCCAAGAAAAGTTGCAAAATACGCAAAAAGGACAAACCTGATCCATATTGTGATTGAGGAAGGCAAGGATGGGCCTCACTAGGGGCAGACAGTCTTCCATTCGAACAGACGGAAGGAGACTCACGGCACAACAGACGAGCTCGGAACGCACTCTCTCCTCACGCTCCATGTTCAGGTGCTCCTGTAGCCTTGGCAACAGGAAGTCCGTCTGAACGTCCTTCGGTGAGGCGAGATAGAAGTCTGCGAGGCGAGGGCAAATGATATCGACGGAGTAACAAGAAACAACAACAACAACGCATGCTCAGACACCTTAGAAAGCCACAAGAACACATTTATGCGGAGATGTGATCTTTTCCTACCAAGTTTCACAAAAGGAAACTAATTTTACAAAGACGGGAGGTTTTGGAAAGAATGTAGCTATCTGGAACTGACTTACCCAAACGAATGACCCGGTTTAAAGAACAGTGTTTTGTAAACTGAATTCGTGCCTATGGAACTATAAACACCGACCGTTTGATGCAAAATTTCAAAGTCAAGGCCACGTATTCTGCGCTATTCTGGAATGTGCTTGCTGAAATACAGTCCGCCTCAATGGATCACATCCACGGATTGAAAGAAACGCGCTACTTGTAGACAGCATGGCGCAGAAAATGCGCGAGTTCTGACTGGTAAACGTCGGGCCAATGACACAACAAGCGCGAACACACACACACGCGCGCACACACCTTTGAACTGATTGGCTGTTATTCGACGAGTTTCAACCTCATTGTCCTCCAACAAATTCATCATCATCGTGTGGAGGGACTTGGTGTTGCCGCCTTTCGTAACCGCCACCTTCTGCAATTCGGCGATGTTGCTTGCCAGAGCTCGCCGCGTATCTCTACAATGGAGAGACAGCATCGATATTGACACAACCAATCAGAAGTCGCCAAGAAACCAATCGATATTTCAGCGGGTAAACCAGCCTGACCTACAGAAAAGGAGTGGGTTTTACTCGACAACCATGACAGTATTTACACTGTAAAGGGAAGCACTTTCACACACACACACACACAGACCAACAGGAACTCGAAATCTAATTGGTCGGCCAAACAAGAAGGTGATTGGGCGGGGAGCACACGCACACAAATACCTTGAACCATCCTCGTTCAGTTTGTCGAGGGAGGGCTGGAGAATGGTTTCGAATTCGTTGGTGCCCGTGGTGAGCATCTTGCCGAGTTCCAACAGAGGACCGACGCAGGCTGACCGCACAACGCGTTGGCTGTCACCGACCAGACTACAACAACACGCGACAAGAGTGAGAACATGTCATCCGATAATGAGGATTATCGGATGATTATCGGCGGAGGATGGAGCAACGTACCCGGACAACAGAGGAGCCAGTTCGGCCTTGAAGTCAGGACCAATGAGGGTGGCCAGAGCCACCAGTTGCTGAATGGCTGCCGCCCGCACCAGCGGCACTTCGTCTTCATTGTCCACGAGGTGGATGAGGCGGCTGGGAGGAGGCAATAAAAACCTGACGTGGCTACGTGGTGATTGGTGCTTTGGACCTGCCCCACTGAGCCAATACTCATGGTTCATCTGAAGTGCTAATTGGTTGGTGAGATACCAATTACGGTTTTAACAAACACAGCCAGACTAAACCATTTAAAAAGTAAACGGAGTTACTCAAGGCACATCGACAACTCAGGTGAGAGCACTTGCATACACCGACGGCTTGCGTCAAAAGCTAAAAGGTGATTGGTGCCATGAACTCGCGACTTCATTGGTCCCTGCACAGCCAATTCTCACCGTGCACCAGAAACGTCAACTGGTAGCGTCTGGGAATGTTGGAATTCCTGCCAACGCTAGTTCATCGGAAATTGGCATTCTGGGAGAAGAAATTGCGAGACGTTGGCTAAAACTTGATATTTTTAGCGACGCCGGCGACCAAATTCCCTTAGATGACGCAATTCGATCTTCAAACCGCGGTTAGATAAGAACGTGGGACACAACAAGAGAGCGCAAGGAAGCACGACAATCGGCGGAACCAACTCCGATTTGTCGAGTAAACGCTGACCTCGTCCAAGGCCTCTATACCAATCAGATGCGGTCAAACACGTACCTCTGACGTATCCCTTCCTAAGTAGACGCTCGACTGCAGAGGTGGCACGCGACGAAGGTCACTTGACGAAATAAGCCAACCAGGTTTTTCAAAAATTTACTTACTTCCGCTGTCTCGTCGTCAATAAC